CTAGCGGTTTCGTCGTTAGCTACGTCTACTATTTTCTCTTTAGCGCCTTCTTACTTATCTACCTACTATAGTTAGTAAGAATTATTATAATAAATTAGTAATACTTATATCTATTTATAAAGTCGAGTCTAGAGTCTATAATACTTAGTCTATAATTTATAATATTAAGTCTATAGTCGGTAATACTAGGTTTATAGTCTATAATAATAGATCTAGAGTCTATAATACTAGATCTAGGGTCTATAATACTAGATTTATAATTTATAATATTAAGTTTATAGTCTATAATAATAGATTTAAAGTTTATAATATTAGGTCTATATTTTATAAAGCTTAGTTTACGCTCTTTAAAGCTTAAGCTCTAGCCTAGATATTATTCTATAACTAAAATAAGTAATAATTATTATAAGGATCTAGAGATATTTATATCTATAGTAGTAGATTTTAGTATTTCTAATAGACTACTAAAGCTAAAACTTCCTTAGAAGATATAAAAATCTTTATAAGATAGAGTAGAATAACTAGGAGAAAGAGAAATTATAGAGTAAGGTAGTAAGATAAGAAATTAGTTAAAGACGAAAAGGTTAAGATAGTAGTAAAAGGAGGAAGAATTAAGGTAGTAGTAAGAGGAAGAAAGATTAAGATAAGGTAAGATAAGAATAAATTTAGGAGCTACTTAGTTATTCCTTACTAGTCTATTTTAGGACTAGTCTCCTTTCGTTTAATTCTTTACCTTCTAGTTTAACTTATATAAATCTTACTCCTAATACTATTTCTAATTTATCCGGGGGATAAGGTTTAGGATCTATAGTAAAAGTAGCCGAAGACCGTAGAAAGAAGGAGTAGAATATATAGTCGCTTTCTATCTTATTAAATAACTTAAGATCTATCTAAGTAAAGGAGTATAGGCTTGTTTTATATAGGCGTAGGCTCCGTTATAATATCTCGTAAGTACGAGAGTAATTACCGAGTATTCGTAAATACGAGTTAACTCCTAGGATACTTAGAAAT